TAACGGCTCGTGCACTTGCGAGTATCACAAGTTGAGGATGCAACTGAATCCATTTTGGTGCAGCTGTATCTACACAACAGTCTCCTTCTCACTTCTGGTGCTCCACATCATCTTTGGGTTGAAGTTGTTTTAACCTCTGTTTATCTTATAAATCTCCTTCCCACACCTACTCTTAATTGGGAAACTCCACATACTCGCCTCTATGGCAGCCCGCCTTCCTATTCCTCTCTTCGCGTTTTTGGTTGTTCTTGTTTTCCTCATCTTGTCTCTGATAAATTTTCGAGTCGTAGCATTGAGTGTGTCTTTCTCGGTTACAGTTCTCAACACAAAGGTTATCGTTGTCTAGATCCTACCAAAGGTTGTGTTTATATCTCTAGGAATGTTATTTTTAACGAAACAATTTTTCCTTACAAATAATTGCAGGCACATTTAGTTCCTGATGCTGCCCCATTGGAGTTCACACTCTTGTCCAGCCCAGGACTCAATCTCCCACAGCCCTCTCTTTCTAGCCCAAACCCGCCTACTGAGAATAACCCTACTTGTACTGTGTCTCAACCAGAGCCGCGTGAAGTTGGTATTGAATTCCCAATTACAGTGCTGTCGGCTCCGTCCCAGTCTCCGGCGCCCAATGCCACCTCCATCCTTACCTATCAGCGTCGCCATTCATCAACCTCTCTTCAGCCATCTGCCCCTACTGCAACTGTTCCACAACTGACCTCAGGTGATTCTCCGTCTGTCACTAATCCTCCGGCGCTGTCCACAACTTCACCGGTTGCTCCTCAGTCCCATCTTGAACCGCCAAGCCCACCACCTTCTCTCCCCAAGAGGACACGTCTACAGCACGGTCTTGTGCAGCCCAAAATTCGCACGGATGGCACTGTCAAATATCCAATTCCTCTTGCTCTCCTCACTGTCATTGAAACTGTAGAGCCTACATGCTACACTTAAGCGTCTAAACATGAGATATGGTGTGCTGCAATGGTTGATGAAATTAATGCTTTGCTGAAAAACAATACTTGGACATTGGTTCCCCCATCTTCCTCTCAAAATCTTGTGGGCTGCAAATGGGTGTTTCGAGTAAACCACAATCCAAATGGCACTATTGAACGTCACAAAGCGCGACTTGTGGCTAAAGGATTTCATCAACAACTAGGTATAGACTATACAGATACCTTTAGCCCTGTGGTTAAACCTGCAACTATTCGTGTTGTGCTTTCTCTTGCTGTATCTAGAGGCTGGTCACTTCGTCAATTAGACGTCAAGAACGCATTCCTTCATGGCTTTCTTAAAGAAAATGTGTATATGACTCAACCAGCGGGTTTCATTGATCTGTCGCGACCAACTCATGTTTGCAAGTTTAACTAGGCCATCTACGGCCTCAAGCAAGCTCCCCGTGCGTGGTTTCACCGTATGACGTGCTTCTTACTATCAGTTGGCTTTGTTCAGAGCTTGGCTGATTCATCTCTGTTCATTTTCCAACTCGGATGTCATACAATTTATTTTCTCCTCTATGTTGATGATATTATTGTCACAGGCAGTGATGATAAACTTTTACAAAGTTTTATTGATGCTTTAGGTAGGGGCTTTGACATCAAAGATCTTGGAAATCTACACTACTTTCTTGGTTTACAGGTTACATCCCAAAATAAAGGTGTTCATATAAGTCAACTCAAGTATGCGTATGATCTTCTTGTGAAGCATGATATGCTGCTTAGTAAACCAGTTAGTACTCCAATGTCAGCAAAGGCTATTCTTACTTCTAATGATGGTGATCTCCTTTCCAATCCATCGGTCTTTCGGGAAATTGTTGGATCCTTGCAGTATTTGACAATCACTCGGCCCGACATTGCCTTCGCTGTTAATTCTATCGCTCAATTCATGAGTCAGCCACGCACACCTCATTTGATGGCTACCAAGCGCATCCTTCGCTACATCAAAGGCTCACTTGACCGTGGCTTGTTCTTTGGTCCTCAACGCCATCCTACTTATCTTGCTACCTATGCTGATGCTGATTGGGCTGGCTGTCCAGACTCTCGTCGTTCAACGTCTGGTTATCTCGTTTATCTTGGCACCAACTTGGTCTCTTGGTGCTCTAAAAAGCAACCTACCATTGCTCGTTCCAATGCTAAGTCTGAGTATCGCTCCCTTTCCCATGCTAGTGCATAATCTACTTGGTTAGCCTACTTGCTTTATGAACTTGGTGCTCGAATTCAATTTCCCATTTTCTTGCATTGTGATAACCTCAGTGCTACCTACATGGCTTCTAATCCGGTGTTCCATGCCCGCACTAAACATATTGAACTTGATTATCACTTTGTTCGTGAGAAAGTCGCACTTGGAAGTCATCGTGTTTGGTTTATCCCTTCAATAGATCAGCCTGCGGATCTTCTCACCAAGCCTCTTCACAAGCATCGTCATGTTCTTCTTACTCGCAAACTTGTTCTTGCAGGCCCGCCAAGTTTGAGGGAGGGTGTTAGAGAGATTTCCTCTTCGCAATCAAAACTGATTGTGTAACTGAAGATCAGAGAGATTTACTCTTCTCAATCAAAACTGATTGTGTAACTAAAGATCAGTTTTGATTCTTTCTAATTATAGTCTTTAGTGCTGTTTATAATTTCTTGTAACAGTCAAACAAATCTCCTATGGAGGTTCAAGCAAATTGACAAAGGTAAATTGTGCATTGCATCACATTGCATTAAATTGATTTCATAAAATGATGACTAGTCATCCTTGCTCTATAGGATTTCCAGCTGGATAACCAACCTTTTTGTCCTATTCTCTCTTCTCTCTCTGCTGCCATGTGTCGATTCTGACCTAAGGAATTTTTGTGTGTAAAGGCCAAATGATTCCTTATTTGGCAACCGTCTCTTTTGGGGTGGATTTTTTGGAATGTTTGGTTTGCTCTTTCTCTTCTTCTTCCTCATGAGAAAACCATCTTATTTTCATCTATGAGTTTTTCCAAATTGATTTCTTTTTGAAAAACTGCATTTGAAATTCGAATCTGCATCTAGCTCATTAAAACACTCTATCATTTATATCTAGGTCAGATTCAAGACTGACTTCTTCAAGAGTATGGATTCTTGAAGAAATTGGTCATTCTCCTTTGAATCCAAATTTTGGTTTCTATCTGAGTTGGAGCTTGCAAGCTAGTGCCATGGGATGAAAGAGCTGGAGAAGGAGCTGCCATTTCCATGAAGAACTGAGCTTGAAGCTTTGCTAAGTTGGAGAAGAAGATTGCACAAAGAAGGTATAGCTCATCTTCCTAAATAGATCTAGGTTTTTCTCGAGCTTGCTTGTGTTCCTTTGTAAGAATCTTTTTCTACTTAGTGGATTGCCTGGTCAGTTGATGACCCCCAGTTTTTCCCAATGGTGGGTTTCTGGGTGAACAATTTTTGATTTGCAACTCTGTTATTTTTCTGGGTTTGTGTTCTTGGTGGTTGACTAGTCATCGAATGAATTCTGAGTTTGTGTCATTGTAGTTGACTAGTCATATGTATCTGCTGTTTCATGTTTATTTGATTATGATGATTTCACACACTTTCACCATAGTTGTTGCTAGCACAGGGGATGCCTAGATTGACGGGTCCTTCTGAGTGCCTAGGTTGTCACTAGTAATTTTCTAGGGTTGCAGGTACATTGTGGCATGCTCTGTGTGTATTATTGATTGTGATTGTTCATGACTAGCAGTTGACTAGTCATAAGTATATTTGGTCAAGGTCTAAAGTGTGTGAAGATTGTTGCGTTTTGTTCACTATGCCAAATTTCACTTTTAGCAACACTACATAGGCATCGGTAAATACGAAATCGATGCTATTAGTAGATTAGGCATCGATTTCATAAATAACGATACTAAACCGATATAAAGACATCAGCACAAATTTTTGTTTTTCTATGACGATGCCTTTATTCCCCTTTAGCGTCATCTACATAACTACAGATGCCTAAAGTGATTGGTTTTTATTTTATTTTTAAGAGGGACATTTTTTGATAACATCCCTCTGATGCCTAAAGTCGAGTCAACCCTAATCCAAAATTTTCACGTTCTCCCTCCAAACTCGCTGCCCGAAACTTCATCTCCCTCTCAAACTCTAGCCCCAATTACTTCCAGCTCCCTCTCAATTTTTTCACTCCCTCTCAAACTGTCACCCTAAAACTTCATCTCCTGAAAAATTCTCTCCTCGCCCTCTCATTTTTTTCAGTCCCTCTGAAACTCTCTCTTTCTTCTCTCTCCTCCGTCACTGCCCCATTCCTGCTAAAACTATCAGATGCTCAACTCTTACGATTCACAGCGAGATCCTCCAATCGGTGTTGTCCGGAACGACGGTGTCGTACGAGCAAGCGTTGAAACTTGGGGAGTGCCGGAGAGAGGCAGCGATCCGACGCGAGGCCTTGGAGCGGACGACGGAGGGTACCTTGGTGGCCAGCATCAATAGGCGCCATGACCAGAGCTCCAATTGTTAGGTTTGGCTCTGCCGTTAGGGCTGCACAGCTCATGTTATTCGTCGAGGACCCTCTCAACTTCAATACTCTTGCTGCCATTTTCAACAGGTTTCTCTGTTTGATTTTAATTTCTTAGAAGAAACCCTAGATTTTCAAGCCAAAACCTTTTTATTGTAGCATGGATTGTAATTTTATATAATTGAGGAACAAAAAGAGGACCTATCAACCAATTTAATGAAGATTTTGTCACAACTGTATGCTGTTGATGGGCATTTGTTTATTTGTTTTGAATTATTCTGTTTTTTCTTCTTATTCTTCTGTTGTTTACTCAATCTGCGTAGTTTCATGTAAAATATTGATAAGTTGTATATGTGATAAATGGGAGGCTCACTGCTTAGGTCTAGTAGATTTGCAAACCTTCTAAAGATTCAATGCCAAATAGCAGGCATGAATCTATGCATCAGGTTTGCTTGCAGCACTGGAGATGCCATGGCATATAAAAAGAAAGTCAAAAAGATGCAGTTGGAGATGTTTGGTTCAGGTTTCTTTTCTTTTTCTTTCCTTCTCTGTTTTGTTGTAAATTTTCCTTTTCTGCTCTGTGGTGGTAGAAACTAAGAATGAATGGAGAATTTGAATGTTAAGTTAGGAAATAGGAGATGATATCCTCACTGCTACAACTGGTATTTTTTTTTTCCCAATTAACGATGGCCAATGGATGTGGTGGAATATGATGTGGTAAATTTTAAATTTTAATTATTTGGGATGTTGTTCTTAGCTAAACAGAAATGTTGTTCTTGTTTTGGTTGAGAGAAGGGTTCTGTTGTTTTAGGAGTTAGGTCATTGTTTATGAACAAGAAATGTCTAAATCAGAATTTTGGTGTAGCCAAAGAGAAAATTAAATTTTTTTATTATTGTTATTGGGTTTTCATGCTACGAATGTCATTGTAGGAATAGTTCTTTTGACTCTGTAATATTTGCAGCTTGAAGGAACAAAAACTTCTATGAACTTGGATGTGCTTTGCTTGTTTTCACAAGGAACATGGAGTGACTACAAGAGTGAGCGTGCAAAACTTGCTTCATCTTTTGGTCCATTTTCTCATTAGTGAATCTCTATTGATTGCTTTGGCCTTCTTGCACCAACTCGATTAATGTTTCTTTTCTGCTTCTATGTCTGATATAATGTCTTAAGAAATCATCTGTTAACTGTTGACCATTTTAAAAGGGAACACAGCTATAATTTTATGCACCATTGCCTCTGTCATCAACTCCGTAACATTATTAAGTCCATGGTTTTCTTTTCTTATTTATTTATTTATTTTCCTTATGGTTAATTTTTTTATTTTATTTTAGAGAACTATTTCCCTTAAATTTCTGAGTTTTTGTAAAAAAAAAATTATGTAAGCTTCTCTATTTCTTATTGTGATGGAATTTAAGAAACTGAAACATAGTTCAATTGTAGGTGATGCCAGTCGTCTTCCCCAATTGGTCCCTGATCAAGTCCTAAAGCTGAAACAGCTCACTGTTCTTACACTAGCTGAGACAAACAAGGCATGATTCAAATGCGTAATCCTCTTATTTTTCAAAAGTTGTTGGTGATTTACATCTCTGAATGTGTAGTAATGGTTAAGGCTATATGGTTTCAATGTGATTATGTGGAGTGTGTCACTTCTGGTACTTTATGTTCTCCATGCTTAACAAATGTCATTCTAAATAAAAAATGAAAGGATATAGTGAAAAATGCATCACTTTTGGACAAGTCCTTTGGATATAAATTTGTCTTACTTGCACTTGGAGCAAATTGAGTGCAGTTACCAATACCGCCACTGCTTAAAATTGAATTCTGATTGTAATAGGTTATGGTGCCTGCTAAAATTATTGGAGGTTTGAGCTTTATTGCTGCCTTGGCTTTAAATTATTGGATTTTTTTTTCTCTTTGTTTTCGCTTTCCTCTTTCTTCTCTTTGGTTTCTGCTCATTCCCTTTAAGTATTCAATCTTGTGAAAAGCAGGTCCAGTTTGCTGCAGGGAGAGACCCCAGACCTGGACAACTTGGGAGTATGATACACACACTGTCAAACTGGTAACATCTCTGATATTGATGGCATTGGTGTAGTTTCTCTACCTCTCTTGGCATGTGCATTATGATCTCAAAACATTAATGTTTTTCCCTGATTGTGTGAAAGTTTCATGACTGTGATGGTCGCATGTCTAATGAAGTAATGTGTTCTGATTTTTTGTTGCTGAGTTCATGATTTATGAAGTTTCTTCTCTAGATAAAAAAAAA